GCGTGCTTTTTCTGTAAACTGAGGTTTGCAATTCGCCGTCCACTGTTCTGGCTACTAACACATCCAAGAAAGGAAGTTTGTTTTCCTTCTCTGATTCCATGGTAAACTGTATGCCATCCATAGCGTTGTTAAGCAGTTGTTGTGCCACCGATACTTGGCTACGTTTGAGTATCACAAAGGTATCATCGACGTAGCGAACCCAAAGTTTCGGATTAATTGTTGGTAGTAGATCTTCTTCCAATTTTTGCATGGCAATCTCTGCGATGAGTCCGGATACAGGTGATCCCATCGGTGCACCTTTCATTTGTTCATACATTTTTCCGTTGAAAGCGAAGTAAGTTGAGAGACATAAGTTGAGAAGTTCGCATACGCTTCTGGTCGTCATGTTCCCAATCTTCCCTCCGCTGTTGTCCAGACGTTCTGCGATAATTTCTTTGGCCAGCTGTAAGTTGACGGAAGTGAATAGGGCGGTCACATCGAAGGACACCATGGTTTCGTCGTGTTCTATTCGTAGGTCTTTGAGTTTCGTCAAGAATTGTTGAGCATTGTTTATGGAGTGTTGCGATTTACTGATTAGGTGCTTGAGGCGCTTCCATAGTTCCTTTGCCAGGTAGTAGGTAGGCGTGCCTGGAAGTGACACAATTGGTCTTAAAGGTGCTCCGTCCTTGTGTGCTTTAGGTAGTCCATAGAATTGTGCAATGTTCGAGTCGTGAGCCCTCATTTTTTCTCGTTCCTCTTCCGATATTTCGTTCGACTGTTTAAGCTTCGCCAACACTCTGTTTATTTTGTTAGTTAGTTGCGACGTTGGGTCATTCTCAATGCATTGGTAGGTTGTAGTATCGTTCAGGAGCTGCCCCGTTTCCTCGGTGTAATCTGCTTTGTCCATAATTACTGTCATCCGTCCTTTATCAGCAGGTAGGATAACAATTGCTTTGTCCGACTTCAGAGCTTGTATTGCTTCTTTCTCTTGTCGGGATAGAGGGTTGCATTGCTTTAAATGCGTCATGGTGTATGGTTAATGTACAAGGACCCATTGGGTATCGAAACTAGGAAAGACTACACCACCTAGTAAAACCATTGCTTGAACAAGACAATTGATGATAAAGTAAAACAGCGGCAGGGATTAAGCGTGAAATTATGTTCAAACTCAGAGCTAGGTTTCAGACACATCAATGAACCCCATAAAGTTCAACGCGGATTCCTACCCTACATTCGTGGTCTGGGCAAGTACAGATTGTAAGAAAAGTGTCCAACGCCAAACATGCACCATTCTCCACAAGCCTCCAAAGAACTACTTGATCTTGTATGCTACCCACGGGATTTTCGCCATCATCAGAACAGTGATATCTCCTTTATAGCCTATGATGATCGGAAGAGACCATGTTACTGAAGATACCCCCGAAAGAACGCTGGAGCGAGATACCATGAATTTGACTGGATTGTTTGCTCCGTTACGCCAACGACCTCTCTGATAGATGACGGTTGGAACACTGGGAAAACACGGATTCGTCACTCAAATTTACGAAGGGGGAAGTCGAGCAAACCAGACTAGTTTCAATCTGATAACGCTCCTTTAAGTGGTTTTTAATATCGCCGAGACCATTATACCCGATGCACTAATGGTTTATTCGGAAAAATGCGACACCGCACCAAATTAACATAGATGCCACCAGAATTGTTCGCACACTAATGCCATTCTACATACTCGCTCTATTTGGACTGAAACCGTTGACAGCCGTGTGTAGATGGACGCAATTTATCTGGACTTCTCATAGGTTTTCGACCGCCTGAACCACAGTGTCCTCAGTCACAAGCTTCCGAGCTGTGGAATTGTTGATCCGGTGTTAGGTTATATTGGTAACTTCTTGCTCCAATCACATCTGACTGCTGGGGTTCGCAGCGTCACCTCCAGCTCTTCGGATGTTCAGTGCGAAGTGTCACGTCTGTTCTTGTTTAATAAGAACGACCTCGCGAGAATGATCACCACAAGTTTCTTACTCCTCGCTGATTTTCTCAATACCTGACGGGCCATCAAAACTACATACTATTAAGTTGCACCTCATGATGATATTGTTAGGGTATAGGAGTGCGCGACTCAGAATTTACATCATTGTAACACCACCAGCTTCAATGTTTGCAGTACGAGCCGTCAATTCTCCTCCGAATAAAGGCAGGGGAATATGTTTTATAACGCGTTAATTCTGAATACGACCTAGGGGTGATGGTATAAGGTAATCTTCACAGATCCCATTAGACCGAGAAAGCATCCAAAAGAGCCAACTAACAGCTTGACCTACTGTGCAGGGTATTCGGGCGTTTTGACTGCTCCACCTTCTCTCGAGCGTTCAGAGCCTACATTAGGTCCCCTTCGGAATACGCCGTTCACGCCTGGCAGCCCTAACACAAGCACGACTTTGTCGCACTTGAATTGCAACAAGGAAGAGCGAATAGGAAGGTATAAGGTCTGTTTTATCCCCCTTACCAGCTGTGGCTGAAACCCCTCGAGTTCTACGGTACGCAATAACGATGTCTGCCTGACGATTTGACGGTGTCGCATCAGATCCTGAGGAATCCCAACCCTGCTTGTCGTCAGGTTCTGAACGCAAATAAAAATACCACTCTGAGCCTGAAAAAACTAAAGCTTCATTCACAGTATAGTCAGTTAGAATGAGGCCAGAAGTTCTTTTCGCTTCGTGTGTCCAACCTTGGAAAGTCCGTTCCTCTTAAGTTACTTCTTCCCCACATAACGGGGGTCCAAGAAACGTATTTTCGTATCAATCATGCACCTACATTACACTATATAGACTTTTGTGACTGTTCATTAACGCAAAACAAAGGATCACGATTTGCAGTTTGTCATCCTAGTGAGTACACCAACAACTGCATTATCCCCTTGACGCTATCTTGTTTCGAAATATATTCAAGCTTGCATCCTATGGAACGTGGTAAGTATTAGTTTTATTATCCATGATAAACCATTGTTCTCAACGTTTCCATTTCGACGATATTTAGCTGCTAGCGATGCGATCACATGATCATAACGAGTACATAATTCATTTCTTGGATTTGCCGTTTTTAAATATCATGTGTTCGTTATGGTGTACAAACCTGATTAGAGACACCAAAAGATGCCTCATAACTTCTAGGCAGTACTTTTACGGACTTCAATCAGCTGAACGACGATTCGACCTAATCCAACTACGTAACAGTTAGTCACAGCATTCCTGCCTGCAGGGCCAAAGCCACGCTTCGCTTCTTTTACAAAACATGAAACACTGGTTATATAATATTGATTGAGGGTTCGTCGCAGCCAGTTCCAAATCAAATAGTCGTCCACATACTTGGAACCGCATTAGACTGCAGTTTTAACCTGGTGGGCATTGTCAGGGGTGCGCAGCCATCGGATCCATCAGGATACAAACCCATGACCACCAGCGGCTTGAATCGCCCGGGCATGTGGACGACTATCTGAGTTGGAACTGGCTGCGACGAACCTTCAATTATTTATATCAAAATCTCCTACTCATGACTACATCAAAATATAAAATATTTGTTAGCAATACACGATTTCAGACCGCAATTGCGGAACAAGCCTGAATAAAAAGCCATAAATTCTCTGAGTGAATCGCACGTGTGGTTAGATCTTAAATTTGTAACAAATAAGCAGAGAGTGCGAATTGCCTGACCTTCGAATCATTAATCATAATGCGACGGTAATGGGTTTACAGTAAGTGTAGGACAACGGAGCAGAGTATCCAAACTAAGAACTTGATCATCATGGCGCTTGTAGCATACCGTACCAAGATCAGATGGGAAACAAAGAAAATAGTTGAGGCGGATCTATAGACAGTGATTCAAACATCCCTTAACGAGAAATAACGACTAGAGCGACTCTTAACTCGGTCTTGTGTCAACTACGGGATGCAGGATGAGCAGAAAGGAGACGTTATTTGTGGAGATAGATAGGTGTATATCCAAGGACGATGTAAAATTTTGGTCTTATAAAATGTATACGTTGATACTGCATGTGATTGTCGAACGAGAAGACAGGCAAGCGCCCGATTCGCAATTTCGGGATTGTTATCGGCGTACATTCCATCGATTGTCTGTAAAGCTAAAACCCCATCTGCGATCAAAACCATTGCATCGCGATGAATGATGAAGTTTAAATAACTATGATCACCGCTAACTCTTCACTAATTTGTAATTTACCGTCTTGAAATAAGAAAAGTGGACGGTTCCAGACAGGATGAGGCAGCTGCCACACATTTTCCGGAACACGTGGTGGCTTCCTAGATGCACATATATGGGACAAATTCAGCTTATACCATTTAAATCTATCTATAAATGCTCTGTGAGCCATGGTATCCTGATATCTGGGTCGTCTGGTGACATAAATACCAATAGGAAAATTCAACGATTGACCTTACTGAATGCTAAATTTCTGCACAAAATCTTCTGAATATATGATCGCAGTTTCATCGGTTACTCGTGAAAGTTGTCTACTGCCGAATAAAATAATTAGGGGAAGTGCTATCCTTCTTTTGTATATCCTACCAAGCTAGTTAGACAACACCACTGTTCTGCTCTGCAGCAAATATAGCTGCGGACCATAATATGTTAGTTTGTTCCGACTGAGTTTAAATGGGGCATGGGCTTAGGTGCAGATATGGCAATTTGAACAAACCGTGGAAAATAGAGTTGACAACCATGCCATGAAACAGTCACTGCAGATCCCTACTGATGTCAAGTTTCATGCGGCGACTGCGATGAATTTTGCTGAATACACCAAACAGCTGAGTCTATTTTTCTGTCTCAGACCCCCAGTACTACATCCACCTCCTGTGAGCGGAATTGTTGCAGAAAGCAAGATACCCGATCATTCACAGCTCTGCTACCACAGTAGAGAGCATAATTTACAACCCATGTGACAAGCTTGGAAGATCAAAGGAACAATGCCTTTTCTACCGCATTAGTGGTATTAAATGAACTGCACTGACCTGTCTTGCGTTTCAGAGACCAGATGTGCGTTGGTCGTGAGTAGACCTCGGTGTTTCATCCACACTGGACTTGTCCGCCGTCTATCAACCAAGGTATCCATAAGCATCCGTTTTCAAGAAGCGATTAATGGGCAGGATACTCATATTAATCACTTTCCGTTTAAATCCATTGAATTCGAGATTGCCCTCGGTTTATATTAGTTCGGTGTTTATAGTGCTTTGTAAGGCTGGCTCGATGGACACGTGCTAAGTCCGATCAGCTGACTTGTGCATCAAGTGCACTTAAGGTAAAGCAGTGAGGAAGATCGCTTAGCAATGATTAGAACACGCGTCGAATTGATCGCTTGGAATTGTGTCACTTTGACCAACTTTGTTACGAGCGAGGTAGCCGGAGATGATCGGCCAAATAAGCATAAGCCGTTATGCGGCATTTTGTTTGTCAAGTAGGTCATCAAAACGTGCTCTGTTACTCCCAGTATTTTCGCTGTTATCCTTTTTCTTATACACTGGATATCGTTCCGGGGCACTCAACAAGCGCTAGGTTTGTCGTATGCACTGGTAGAAGCTGGCGCAGTGGCTATCCTCTCACGAAATGTAGGCGCACAGTCACAGACGAAGGATAGTCATTATAGAAAACTTGTAACACCGGAGATGCGCATCAAAAAACTTGTGCAGGCTAGTTGGAAGCGACGTGTACCATTGTGAGAAAGTACCAAGTATTTACGTGGAATTTGGTTCAGTTGGTCTGAACCACTGCGCAATCAGAGCACCTAATGCAGATGTGCTAATTTAGTGATCACACAGTCATAGCTTATATGTGGGACTGGGTATTCATGGGTACAGAAAAATAGAAATCAATGAAAAGCTCTCATACTGAACGAGTCTCAATATTTACCAATGCATGTATCTGTTAGCTTGACGTCCACGATAGTTCTGTTGCTCCAAAAACCACGCAAAACACGTGGACATTAAGTTGAACCATCCCAATCCAAACTTCTTTGCATGACACTGGCTGACTACATGAGCGGGAATATTCTAAATGAGGAGCAGGGTTACTAGTTATCAAGGCAAACCCAACTGACATGTTGAAGAATATTCCACCAATGCAAGAAGACGGCCTGAACTGCACTGGTCGTAAAAACGAGGTTTTCGGTTGATAAAACTACGGCCAACCTCGTTATTACTTCGCATCAATCTCAAAATGCTCGATCGCAACTAAAACTATTATGGCCGCAATTCCAACAAGTTGTTGGGTAGAAAACATACAAGTACGTAAGTACCCAACCCAAAAGCATGTAGGGTGATCGTCCTACCACGTTTAGCTAGAGTACTCCAAATTTTACCACTGCTGGTATTTCTAATAATGCCATTGAAAACTGCGGTCTGTACTTATAGCTTCAAGTTGTCACGATCGTTGGATACTCAAACTGAAAATCACCGGTAATTAACTGTTACCTGATACTTATATTATTCATTCTAGTACATATTTTAAGTGACGCACAAAATTTGTCATAAAGCAACGGATAGCTTACTTTTTATACACGTTAGCCAGAGGTGAGAAACACCTCAGTTATTGTGCAGCAATACACGAGCAGTGGAAAATGATGCAACTGAGACGCACCAGCTGAGCAACCGGTTACAGACGGACATCGTTCCGGCGAGTTAGCAACCGGCCACAAGAAATGAGATCGTGTTTAGAGCAGGTGGATGGGAAGAACGGGGGTTGGAAATGAGGGAATGGGATGGACAAGGAAACTCACAACGCCAACGCAATTGCGAGCGGTTTCCCGCTATATCAGCCAGTGTATCCAACCAAATGTGTTCAGCGTCTTTCGGGCCCTAACAGGGGAGCCGAGAGGTTCCAACCGAACCCAATTACCAAGTAAGAGCTTTCATTCCTTTTGACCAAATCATCACTTGACCATCCCTCCTTTTTCTTTCATCTAAATCATGGTCGCACAAACAACGCACATCGCAGCAGTCAGTGTCAACGGACAGGTACTATGTTGCTAAAAATTTAGTGTTATATTAATGGAAACTCCGTATAAGTTTCAACATAATTTACCCAATGTTTCCCGATGTATGCGCTTACTTTGTATGCCATTACACAGAGAACCTTGCAACCACCACGCTCGCCTGACCGATGTGCGCCGCTCTCAAAGCTGTAGAAGTACA